CAAAGCAATTATGAAGGAATTGGAAGGCTGCCACAAGTTTTATCAACATTTCCTAGTATTATTAACTTCATTTGACTTGAGTTTAAAAAAATCATTTTATATTGACCAAGGCTGAAACATGTGATATTTGTTGAATCTGAAAGGCAAACTATTGAATCACAATGTTAGAGCTTTTAGGAAGACTTTGGAGATCTAGTTTAATACTTTTATTTTTACAGATTAGGAAGCAGCCAGGAAAAGGTTAAGTGACTTCTCAAGGTCAAAATCTAAGTCAGTAATGGTGTCTATATTAGAACCTAGGCCTTCTAACGCCTAAGCTAGTATTCCTTCTACTAAATGACTTATCCCTATGATTGCTGTTGATTATTCTTAGGTAATAAATCAGGTAAACATGGTAACTTGCCTACTGATAATTTTTATAGTATTCACCTTATGGCAGCTTTCAGTGACTGATGGCACTTACCAGCTTCTGAAGTTATCTTGAAATTTGACTTTTGTGTGGCATAAATGCTGAACATTGTATTACAATTAGTGTACTTTTACACAGAGGTGTGCATATGGAGGTTATATCTCAGTCCCCGCATTTGCAGTCAGCTAGATATTGTTTAATGTTTAACAGACATTCCCAATACTCAAGGAGTTGGGAAATATTCATTTGGTCAGCTAAAAGAGTGTGGGATCAGAAAATGAGTTGAAAATCAAATCCAAACAAAAGAAACATTATATCAGAAACAAATCTCTTAGGAAAAATTCTTTCGTAGGAAAAATGTTTCCATTATTTTCAAGGTCCCTTTTATTTGGTTCTTATCCACATGCAAATATATGTTCAGAATTGTATGTTAAATCCACTCAAAATCCCAGGATGATTAAACTGTCAATTTACAAAACGCTGAATTTTAGTCCTCTGGCTCAGAGATAGGGAGAAGTTTACATCACTAACCATGCCACTGTTTAACCGAATATTAACTGCAAGGAGTTCAAAAAGGACCATGAAATCCAATAGGGGATGTCAGTGTTAACACTGTAAAAAGTATTTTTATATTGAGAATGATCAATGAAAAGCCTGTGGGTTCCCTAGGTATAGGGTCTGCTCTTGGTAAAAAGGAGTAACATCTGAGGCCACTATTCATTACAAAAGTCCCCACCTAAAATGTCTTTGGTGAATTAGAAAATAATTCCTCTCTTGGTAAATAGTCTCCCTTTCTTTTTAAAACCGACTACTGCATATAAGCTATAATCAGGCAGTGCACAAAGCACATAGAGACTATCTTAAGCCAATGGTAATTTGGCAAAGGTAATTAGATATTAGAAATATTTGCCTTATTTCTATAGCAACTTTTAACTGAAAAATTGTAACTTGAAACTAAAATTGAACTAAAACCAATGAGTCTTGCCTAATGGCCATAGGAAGAATAATTCTGTCTGAATGAAAATAATATCTTCTCAGATGAGAAAACAGTGAGTTCTGGGGATTTTATCTTCCTTTCCTCCAAAATTCAAACTGAAAATGTGCTAAAATAATCTGGAAAGGTTATACTTGAAGAAATGTTTTAAAGGGATGTAATCAAATGTAGACTATCCAAATTAAAGTAACAAGAACAAAAACCTTGATGCCATACCAAAGCAGAGGACAGCCCATTTTAAAGCAGAAGAATGTATTTGGGATTCTAATAGCAGCATCTCCCTTGCTTAACTTATAGATAATAGTCCCTTTTAAAAAGCATGTACCTCACCTGAGTGTGTGCCAACCTCAGCACCCAGGCAAATATAAAGCTTATGTAATAATTGTAACTAGCAAATATCAGTGCCCTGCATGCTCTGGGCTCCAGCCAGAAGGAATCTGCTTCTGACATCTTTTCTATTGTTTATTGTTCCCTTTCTGATGTTTATTATAAAAGCAATATTATAACAATATCAAAGAAAATATTAAAGGAGAAAAATTTCATAATCCCACCACCCTAACACAACTGATTTCAATTAACTGTGTTCCCAGTCTTTGTCCATATGCACACTTATTTTTACATAGTTGTAATCCCTGTTTATTATTTAAAAGTGATTTTATAGATTCTCTCTGAGAACTGGCAGCCTCATTAGAAATAAAAAAAACCCATTGAGCAAAGGAATATAATTATTTACACAATCTTTGAGCTGAGAAAAACCCTTTATAGACAAACATCTTAAACTATCAAAATGGTTATACAGCCGATAGGAAGCAATTTCATATTTTTTTAGCAATGGAATGTGCTTCACAGGGGAGGGATAGATGTGGGGATTAGGTGGTCAAACTTAAACATTAAGGGAAGTGCAATTCACAAGTCTGAAAGAAATCTGAGTAACACAATTAAGGAATACTCAAGTTAAATCTTACTTGACTTGGCCATCCAGTAGCCAAAATGGAACATGGACACACAAATATTTACAATGACACAGATAAGATCAGCAAGAACAAAGTCATTGCCCAACATGGTGACTGATTTGAGGGGATTGTGTCATCCAAAAACCCTCACTGGATTAGGACAACACATTAGATCCTTGCTACATTAATGTTTTTTTCTTTCTTAAATAAATAATCTCTGCTGTGCTTCTCACCTTTCCCTGACTTTCCCACTGCCCTATTCCTTTCTTTTCTTGTGACATTTTGGAATGAACATTTAATGTGTACCTTTATTTGTTCAGGGCACACTAGCAATTTTAAAGATCTGGATAGACTGACCTATGTGAAGTTGCGCTAAAATAAAATCTAGGGAAAGGGAATAAACTATTAACCATCAGGAATTGAAGTTACTTAAATGTACCAGATATTAATGTTTTAGCATCATTTTGGCAGGAGAAACAGCTTCTCTTTAATACTTATTAGAAATATACATAGTTCTCCAACATGGGGAAGAAAGGGACTTTAGAAGCTGTTCTCATTTAAAATTTTACATATGCATAAATTTGTAAGGGTAAAACCTAATGGTGTATTACATCACAAAATTTAAATTAAAAAGAATGTGTTGAGGATGTATTAAGCTCCTCATGTTAATATGCTGAACTAAAAGCATAAAGAGCAGCTATTTCTATGCCTACAATATTCTAAAGTATCAGACCCACAGAAACAAGGCATATAAGAGATGCTGATTGACCAGTAGGTCTTCCCCTACCAGATTTATGGGCTCTCTCCACTGGTCAGGCATAATTATCAATTATTAAATTCTATTAACATTCCAGGTATTTCAGTTGAAGTCCCTGGCACTATGAGAAAAAATAAGACTCTTATGAAATAAAAATCAATCTCTATCTCTCTTTCATTAGAACAAAGCAGCATTAAAAATTTCTGATCCAGTTAACTTTTTGCAACCTTTAACACAGTATGCTTCAAATTAATATTACCAATGACTGGATTTTCTTTTACTTTTGCTACTTTATCCACTACAAACATTTTTGGGGGAGGGGTCAACCCCCTCCCACATTTTATATTTCAAAAAAATAATAAAACAGGAAATCCACCAAAGGTGTAATCTCCTTAACATAAACATGTGTCATATGTTTAGCAGAAATGCTCTAAAGAAAGTGCTTTTATATTAAGGAGTAAATGAATTATTCAATGGAGAGTATATCTCAACAGAAAAGGAAAGAGTACCATGTCATTAATCTCTTCCCCCTCTTGTTTAATGTAGCTATGTTCTATTCAGATTTTTATAAAGTACCAATCAAGAAGCCCTCTGTAGCAAAAATTATTAGCATTTATAAAGTTTAGAGGAACAACTTTTTAGAATTTATAAAACTGACAACACACTCTAAAGAGAAGCATAACCTTTCTACATAGACATCCTCCAAATATTTTTCTACTCTCAGAAGACTCAGGAAGTGCCAACTGTTGGATTTGTAATAAATCTATATATGGCGAAATAACCACAAACCACAGAAGGAATTCAGATGTACTGATATTTCTTGGAATATATGATTGCAAACCCAAATTACTATCACTGAGGAATTTCAAGATTTTTATAAACATATTTTTGAAATTAAAAGTCAAATAAAGGAAATATTAATATACTATATCCTAAAACATGTTTGGTGATACAGAGGTAAAGTACAAATATGAACTTACAAATGTTGACTGTAATGTAGTTTTCACTGATTGCCCATTTCATACAGAGCTTAATAGTATAATATTCCTTTATTCCACATATTTTCATTTATTTTGCTTTTGTGTCATACTGAGTAGTGCTCAGTGACTATTTCCAGATCAGCAGTGCTTGTAGGTGTGGTTGGGTAATCATGTGATGTTAGTGATTGAACCTGGGGTTACTGCAGGGAAGGCATGTTCCAGACCTTGAGCCCTCTGCTCTGCTTATCATATTTTGTTAATTCATTAAATATCATAAGTTGTCCAAACAAATCATTTTTATCCTAAATATGTTGGTTAGTAGGTCAGTCTTTTGCTGATGTCCACATCAACGAGAAGATCAAAAGTATCTTTATGTATGTTCATATATATTGCCCAACAAGGATTTCAGTATTTCATATTTATCTTGTTTTCCTTTAGGGTCTCAGAGAAATCACCAATTTTGTTTAGAAGTGGTTCCTCCTAGAATAATTTTCTAGATTCATGAACCTGAATTCACCCAACAGGAATATTACAGTTTTGTTGTGTCCCATTTTTTCAGATTTCAGAAAATGAACAAGTTAGTTTATATAAATGATAAGCTACCTTTTTAACATCATCATGAAAATGTTGGTTTTCAGGATTGTTGCCATTTGAGTTTTATTTATATATATAGCTTTTTAAAAGCTTTTTCCTGAGCACACATATTTCTCTCTGCATTTGGATATCTTCAAAGAAACCTTTTCCCAGTACAAATGCAGAAAAACAGGTACACAAATCAAGCCCCCACTTAAGAAGAAGAATAAAATTTTGCAATTCTATTACAGCATGGACTTCCACAAGTTCACACAGTACTTGCTCTGGTGTGTGTGTGTGTGTGTGTGTGTGCATGTGCTTGTGTATGTGCCTGTGTTGTATGTGTGTGCCTGTGTGTGTTGTTTGTTTCTTTGTTTTTATTTAGTTTTCCTTCTAAAAAATGTTTTGACCTCTTTTTTTTCTCAATAGTTAATGACAATGCAAGTGAAAAACATCACATTTGGTAAGGAAATCTGAAGGAGGTTTGAATGCAAGAGGGACTACTCTAACTTAAAAACAAATACAACACTATGAAGAGGAAGTGTGCATCTTTGAGAAATATTTTTCTCCAAAGTGTATGCACAAAATGAGGGGATTCACTACTGGCTCTTTCGCTTCACGGTAAAAGTGACCACTTTCTAGCCACTTCAGCATTGCTGCCCTATTGGGGCTGCAATTCAGGCTTACAAATAAATTACAGAATCCTAGGGAGTAGGAAAAAGGCTTATAAGAAGTTTCTATTCATTTGAAAGTTAAAGAACCTCCAGCCCATTTGACTGTCTTTTTTCTTCCATATTTTCTGCAGCAGAGTTTTATTTCAGTCTTACTGATGAGGGAGATGGTGTGGGGTAAGGCTTGCAGTTCTAGCGGCTGCTGTTCTTGATCGCTTCCTTTGCAGCAATAATGAGAGGTGTCAGGCTGGAGAGAGGCTTGGCTAATTTTAAAAATGAATGCTAAAAAAAGAAGAAAATCAGAAATTACTGGAACTCTTTTCTGCAACAAGTATATTATGTTACATTGTCAAAACACACTTTTTCATGTAAATACATTCTGTGCATCCAGTTAAACATCATTTATTAAAAACAGTGTCAACTTTTGTCCTTCAATTGCCTTTGCCTTTCTTGTCATGAAATCCTCTGAAAGCTGACTCAGAGAACTAAAAATTCAGAGTAAAGGTCTTGTAACATTTTACTCTGCTGGAAACAGTGGGACTTTATGAATTTCCTAAATGGGTGAATTTATCTGAAACACCCCTCACGTTTGTAAAACATCTTCAACAGTTTTCTGGAATAACCCTCATATTTATAAAAGCATCTTGAAAACATTGATCCTAAAACCAGTGGTTTTCTAACTATAAAACCCAATAACTGTGCATCTACAAGTTCTCTTTCAGCCCCTCTGCAGTATTTAATACAACTGAATATTCTTTCCTACAAAAAACATTTTTCTCCTGCATTGTCTGTGACATCTTATAGTCTTACTCTCTTCCATGTACATGCTCACTCCATATTCTGTGGTTTCAAATCCATCTCCTAAATATTTTTACTCTCATTATTTGCTTTTCTAATCCAATTCCTTGATAACCCATTTCTGACTTTAATCAGCTTTTATACGGATCACTCAGAAATATTTTATGATCTGATTTTTCTTTCAGTCTCCAGTAGCCATCTGGATACTTTCTCTTGAATATTATCTTATGACACTGAATTCTACATTTAAAAATGAATGGTTGGTATACTGTGTAACTCTTTCTCATGGTGAGTCAATAAAAATAAATTTTAAAACTTAATTTTGAAAATTCATGGTAGGGGTTGGAGAGATAGTTCGGTAGGATGCTTGCCTTGCACACAGCTGACCCAAGTTCGATTCCCAGCATCCAATATTGTTCCCCAAGTACCTCCAGGAATAATTCCTGAGTATAGAACCATGAATAACCTCTGAGCATCGCCAGGTGTGACCAAAAGCAACAACAAAATTCATGGGAAAGTCTTCAAAACAGGGCAGTCTTTCTTTGAAGGTAAGGCACTATCAGTGATGCCTTGTGGACCATGCAGTGCTGGGAACTGTATCTGGTGCTCCAACATGCAATGCATGTGCTCCAGTTCTTTAAGCCATACACCTTTCCAGTTCCCCAAACATGGTGCACTTGTATGATGTACACTGCAGAGGCTTTGATGTCTGAATACCTGGGAACAATCTTTTCCTTTAACTTAAAATAGTTAAAGTAAAAGTTCCTGGATCAGAATGACAGTACATTGGATACGGCGCTTACTTGCACGTGGTCAAACTGAGTTCAATCCCCAGCAACCCATGTGGCCCCCTGAACACTGCCAGGAATGATCCGAGAGTACAGAGCATAAGCTCTGAGCATCACCAGGTGTGGCCCCAATACAAAAAAAGATAAAACAGCAAAGTAAAATTCCTTATAACTTAAACAGAAGCAAAGAGATATTAGCAGTTGTATTATCTTCTATCAATTTTGCTTATACTTAATTCTATCATTGGTTTGGTACTCCAGAATCCACTTCTGTCTTCCTCTCCCTTAAGGTACCAAATTCTTCTCAATATATGATAATTATATCTTGCTTTTCCTAGTTCAGGTATAATCAACTTAAACCTAAACTACAACAATAACTCCCCATTGACTGGGAAACCTCAAACTTTTCCCATTGTTATTTATATTATATTCTACCAGATAAATCTTCCTAAACAAATCTTGTGTGATCCCTCAGTCCCCCAACTATTAAACTGGTGTTCAGGGGCCTACACATTTTTTCTCCTGCAATTTTCTCAACTGAATTATTTATTTCATCAGAACTTTCTTTTTATCCACTTAAACCTTGTCTATATGTCTTTGGTTATTCTATATTGCTTAATATGAAGTTCCTTTCCTTTCAGACCACCTATTTAAAATATGTCTGTCCTTCAAGACTCAGTTAAATTCTGTCTTGTTTTCAAAGATTTTCTAATAGCCATGGATTATAAAATTATTTCTCTGATCAATTATAGTGTTCACTATTTGAAGATCTAATTGGTTTGAATGAGTCTTTAAGCAGTCTTGTATTATTTCTCATAAACCGAAATTCATTGTGAATGTCCAGAGGATAGGAATCATGCTTTGAATAGGTTTGCATCATCCATTAAATGGAAATCTTGCAAACAGAAGTTGCTCAATAAATATCAATTAACTGTACAGAGAATTGAGTTACACCATATACAAATAGTTCTCAGAACTGTGTCTTTTCTCAAGCCTACCAGTGAGGAGAATGTCACATTTTAACTTCTTTCAACTTCTAAAATAAATAGACAAGGATAGGCTAGATTCCAAAAAGAGAGTTGTGTGTGTTCAATGCAAAATACAGGCTACTGTTTACATGTACAAAACATGCAATAAATAAACTATCTGATTCAAAGCCAGAATATAGTTTTGCATTAATGATTAACCTTTTTCAAAGTATTGCTGAAGAATTTAACAAGATAATTGACTCAATGATATATGTAACTGTAACTCAATGATATGCATAACTATTTTAAGAGAATCTATATTTTCATTTATCATTGGAAGAAAGCTTGTTAGAAATATGTGTAAAATGTGTGTAACTGGAGTGTTGGAATGTATAAAAGCTATGGAAGTGAAACATTCAAAAGTATGATTTGCTGTTAGAGTGGGGTTATTCTTCCTGTGTTTTGTCTGGGTTTGGTTCTTTGTCTCTGGGGGAAGTTCCAGAGTTTAGAAGCAAAAGGAACGTATTTTTGTTTGTCTGTTGTTTAGAACAGACTTAAGCTACAGTTACAAATGCTGCACCTTTGTTTTTGCAATTCAAATTCACAGTTGAGAAGAAGCAGTCATTGTTTTGGGGATGTTACTGATTTTTTTGAGGAAAATGCATAATAGCTACTTTATGCAGTTGTAAAGATTACAAAAGCTAATTTAATTAAAGAATTTTGTGCACCTGATTTGGAAATAATATCTAATTAGCTGGTATTATTATATACGCAAATTGTCATACATATACATACACCAATCCCAGAGAGACAGGGAAAGGACAAATCTTTATAGAGGTACTCATCACTGACAGCAACACACAGCCAAGCAGATACCTGCCAAATAGTATCACAAGAAAGGGGCTTTGACCAGTCAGGCCATGAGAACAGTGAATTCTACATAAATAATTGCATAATTGGGTAGAGAATATTCTCCAGTTAAAAGCACCTGTAAACAACATCCAGGGGACAAGGTAAAATATAGAACAAAACAGCAACACCAGAGGTCCACATTGTTTCTTTTCCTTGAGAAACAAGATGGGGTTGAAGGGGAGGCAGCAGGCTAATCAAATATGCATTTGATGCATACCTATATACTTAACTTCCTGTGGTCTAAAATCAAATGGTTATTGCCTAAATTGAGCTTGACATTTCTTGACAGATTTCTCTTACTGTCATAGGTTAGATGGAAAAGTGTTATATATGCTTCATAAATGTCCTATTTTACCTGCAAGAGCTCCTTGGCAGACCCTCGCCTATCCACATCCATCTCAAGACAGCGATTTAAAAAGTCACGGAATACAGCAGACAATCTCTCTGGATTCTGGAGCTCTGGTGTTCCATTTGTGGCAATCAAATATAATGCCTATAGGGGGGAAAGGTAGAAAAATACACTCAGCAATGCATAAGTGGATTGTGACTAGGCACAGTAGGGGCAAATACAGTTTCTTTACAGTCTGGGTTTCAAAAATGGGAAACAAGAAGGCTGTACTATGGAAGTAATTCCTGTAAAAATCCATATATAATTAATGTATGATTGGCCATCTAAAAAATTAGACCTAGGGGTTTCCTGCGAGTCTGTGACTCTAAGGATTTGCAGAACACAGTCATACCCAATCATGTTCATCTGAGTATAACCCCTGGAAGGCACAACTGGAAAGGAGAAAGTAATTTATATTTTATCTCGTTTGAAGATATTTTAAGCACACCAGAGATGAAAGGAGTTCATTATAGAATTAAAGAAGTACAAAGATTCATAAGATGGAATGCCTGGAGGAGAGACAACTTGTGGGGCAGCCAAAGGACTCAAATACTTTTGTGCTGTGGCAAATGATTCCCTCTAGGGTTTAATAAGATTTGCCATTCTACTTATAACATAAAGTATAAGAAAGATTTGCATTAATGGCCTTAGAGCCTTTCAATTATACATCCTACTGTAAAATAATAAGGTTACCAATATATCTCTCAGTTCTTCGTTGTATAAGGATGCCACTAAAAGACATTAATGGTGTGCTCACAAAATCAAGTGACTCATTTTTCAAGAAAGTCATACCTAGAACCCAGTTAATTTACAAAACCTATATATTAAAGGCTCTTTTTGAGGGGTAGAGGCATCCCAAGTGCTTCTTGGGAGGCTAGAGGTCGTTCCAAGTGATTCTCAGCCAACCAGAGAACAAGGTTCAATAAAACAGCCCGAAAATATGGTGCTGGGGTTTGCTTAGATTATCCCAGCATTATTCAGTGCCCTCTAGGCTGTACCCAGTAATGCTGAGGGAACATGTCATGCCAGGGATCAAACTAGAGTTGACTGCTTACAAGATATGTGAGCATATCCTTTTCTACTTCTCTTTACACCCTCAAAACCTTGGGATAGCGAAAAAAGTTATAAGACAATGTCTTATTTTCAAAATTCACACAATTTAGTGAGGGAAAGAAAGATGTACAATTAACTATAATACAGTAAGACAGACTTAGTAGGGTATATAGCAAAGGCAAAGTTAATTACAAGGATGAGAAAATTATACTCAGCTCAGAGAAAGTTTCACAGAGAAATGTGATATTGGAACAAGGTCTTGAGAATAATGAACAATTTTACTGAAGGCAGCAACTGATCTCCCTATTGTGAAGATGGGAACACCTCCTTCTTCCTAAATTTTCTTGGGCTTTATAGCAAATTATTAACTACTTTCTCTGCCATGGATTCCAATATTATTATTAGGATATGTATTTCTATTAAAGTCCTTTTCCAGGACAGTTTTCATCAACCCATGAAGACATTAGCTCTCCTTTCTAGAAATCTCCATAGATATACTTTAGAAAGGCCCAAGAGGAACTTTTTAAATCAGTGGCCATCAACTTTGCACCAAAAATATCTGCGGATTGCTTTAAAAAAAAAGAGATTCCTGGTCATTTCAAGAGCTCAAATTCAGCAAATTTGGTGAGCAGTCTAAGAATTTACATTCTTGATGCTAATGTTAGTTCCAGGACTGCACTTTGAAAACTGGTTTAATCCAGAGGTTCTCAAATTTTAGTTTTCACCTGAATCACCTGGAGAGCTTTTAAATTCCTAAGGTCTTATCATATTTATAAAAATATGCTTGAGGATCAAAATAAAACTATGGCAATTACACAAGAATAACTCCTGAGGGTGGGACCCAGCTTTCAGTTGCTGTATGTCTCTTCAGATGATTCTTTGAGACTCACTAGCTTAATCCTCCCAAGTAATCAAGCAGTGGCCTAAACTGGAGGTTTCTCGACTTGTATTCCTATCATATACCTGTCAGATTTATACTTGTATTCCTATCATATACCTGTATTCCTATCATATACCTATCATATACTTGGGAAGGAGGTAAAATCTCCCCCCGCCACACACACACACAGTTATCACTTCTAGGCTGACTAAGCAAAGCCTAGTCAGTTTGGGATGGAATCAATATAGTCTGAGGTAAAATCAAGGCATAAGTTTTTTTAAGTGCTCCAGGATAATTCAAATTTCAGTGAACACTGAAAATCTCTGGCGTGTCCCATCCCAGCTTAAGTTCAGAATCTGTCAATAATTCAGTTTAATAACTCAAAATCTATACCCCAAACATGAGAGCCACAAAATCCATTGAGGAGGATACATTTGCATAGTGACAGCTGCGAAACCACATGCATCTACAGAGTTCAGGAAAACTTACCCTTCTCTGTACATTAAAACACACACACACACACACACACACACACACACACACACACACACACCTTTCATCCAAATAAGCACCTTCCTTTACTGAACACCTTAACTCTTTTAGTTATTCATTTATTTGGCTTCTGGGCCACATCCAGCTGTGCTCAGAGCTTACTCTTGGCTCTGTGATCAGGGATCACTTCTGGCAGGCTTGGGAGACCATATGTGGTATACATAATTGAACCCAGGTCAGCCAGGCAAGCACTCTACCTGCTGTAATATTGCTCTGGTCCCTTTTGTTACTTTTAATTACTTTATTAAAGTACAGCAAATGTGATTGCCAGCAATTAGAATTCTAAGGGAAGATAAAAATGTAGTACTGAATAAAAGGGAGAGTATGGAAAAGGAATAACAAGTTGAATCAAGGAATTAACTGAATGTACATAAACACTGTATAAATATTAAGTTCAGAGTGTTTTAGTTCCAGTGATTAGTTACTAAAATCAATTGTTCTCACTAACAATATTTAGTCCTTTTTAAAATAAAATTGGTTACTACAAATTACATTTGATCTCTGCTCCTAAAGACACTTTTGCTGTCTGTTCCTAAAATACACCTCTTTTCAGCTGGCTACAATTATGTAAATTGTATCCCTATGTTGTTTTTTTTTTTCCTGTTGTGTAATTCAACACTACACCTCAAAGAAATGTACCACCTTATGGTGTTTCACTAATAAAAATTTAAAAGAAATGTTCCAGGCATACAATTAAAAAATTAATATCCAAAAAAATGAAATGTACCACTTTTCTCTCCTTCCATTCTTCCTAGGCTGGTTTACATGTGGTACTACTCATTTTTCTCATTCCCACCATTCCAAGCTCAATATAGCTTACTCCACATAAGCTCCCCACAAGCGCTCACACATGTCTTCCTTCAGAGTCAGTGCCTACTTAGCTTGGGAATATTGTATACCTCTTTCTGTCCACGTTATGAATTTAAAAAAAAACTTTAAATCACAGTTGTTAAGCTGAAATAGTGCTCTAGAGCAAAGGAGAAGAAAATCCTATAATTTGAAGAAAAATTATAATAAGCACTTGAACCAGTGCTTTGAATCTCTACAGCACTTTTAAGAATGTACATGTATGCATTCACATTTCTACAAGCCCAGCTGTGGGTGTTTTTTTTTAACTTAATTCCATTTTTTTTTATTTATTTATATTGGTTTGGGGCCACAACAGGTGTTACTCAGGACTTACTCCTGGATCTTCACTCAGGAATCACTCCTGGTGATGTTTGGGGACCATATGGGATGCTGGGGATCGAATCCAGTGGGCTACGTGCAAGACAACTGCCCTACCCACTGTATTAACCTCCCTGGCCCCTAGTTGTGGGTTTTGTTGAGCGACAGGGATAGGACTGAAAGAGGTGAGAGGGGTGAGAGGGAGGTCTGTTGGTAGCCTAAAAGATTATGCCTGCCTCCCTGATTACACATCATTATCCCCTATATCTAGGTATACATTTCAATACTGCCTTTTGCTAAGCACTGTATCAGGAGTACTTTATGATTTGGGGGGGTCATTCCCAGCAGTATGGGGGCAATATGTGATGCCAGGGATTGAGCACAAGGTTCTTGCATGCAAAGTCCTTTGACTCTTCCAAGCCCCTATTTTTTATGTTTTAACAAATTCTTCATGAGTGTCATTTTAAGAACCATGTAACAGCTCATATCATCATCAGTGCACTATAGCTAAAATTCCTGGGCTGTACATCAAAATCATAATCTTTAACACTATCTTAAACATGTGACCAAAACTACAAAAAACTTTTCACAAAATTTTTACAATAAGAAAAAGATTAAGAGGAGGCACACTAACGTGTTAATGGTTTTCTTTAGGTGTTGGAGCTATTGGTAATTTAATTTTTCTAAGTATAGTTTAGGTTACATAGTTATGATAGTGTTAAGATTTTGATAAACACAGCTTACTAAACATCACCACCACCAAAGGTCCCAGGACTGTACACTAACTGGTGACCTAATGTCTTTTTTCAGTGAAGACAGTTTTTATTGAACAAAACTTGTTTAGAAAAATAGAAGGGGAATGAAAGAGAGGAGATATGTGTTTAAGGGAGAATGAGTTTCTCCAGAATGGAAAAGAAAGTAAGCAAATACACAAGCAAGTGAGATAACTGTTCAAGGGAGAACATGGGGGCGATGGGGGGGGTGGGAGGGATATTGGGATCCATGGTGGTGGGAAATGGGCACTGGTGGAGGGATGGGTATTTGATCATTGTATAATTGAAACTCAAGTACAAAATTTGTAAGTCTACAACTGTATCTCATGGTGTCTCAGTAATAAAATTTTTTTAAAAATGGTAAAAAAAGAGTAAATAGGCGACTTAGTTTCTAAAATATTTTTTACAATAAAAATGATTATTTGTACTTTATGAAAGCCTAAAATTATTTCCAAAATAAAGTTCAAAAGCCGTGGCAATCAATTTATATGAAAATCTCATCTATTTTTGTCTTTCTGGGATTGAATCTGCTTCCTATCAAGTGCTATCCCTTGAGGGAAACAAAAAACCCAGACTTCTTTTTCAACTATTGTTTTCATTTTAATTGCAACAGTATTATTTCCAACTAATTTCCATCGCAAATATCCTCACTTTCAGTTATATTATGGGCTAAACTGCTC